AACATGACGGAACGGCTCGAAGACTCCCGACTGATCAAATATTAGGGCCTATCACTGGATCAGCCGAGTGTTTAATGATTTTAGGTTAAAAACCAAACCAGATATAAATAAACCACTTCCAATATTTACATTCAAATATCGCCATTTCTCTTCCTACACGCGCTCACATTACTTTTCCCGCCAATTCTAAAAGTCACGTGCTGTATGGAAGCGATTCATTCAGCCATGTGGCATGATTAAACTGATAAACAGAAGGCCGTCTGCTCCCAGATTTGTAAGAACCAGGCGGGAATAATTCCAACCTAACTGAATTATATTGTCATCATGGTTTAATAAAGGTAGAAGATATTAATTATGCTGGTTAGATTCTACCCACCTAATCGCCATTATTACACGAGGGCAATTTCTCTTCTTTTCTAAGAAGGAAAGAAAAATTTGATTAAAAGACATTTTCTGATAAAAATAGCCATTGAAAAACGTACATCGGTTTGTCAACCATTCTAAATTTATTAGATTTAGAATTTGATAATCCGTCTACGAAGTTCGCGTTCGGTTCGATGAAACCCGGAATTGCAAACTCGCACATCAAAGACGAGTTGTGTTTTTTTAAATTCAAAGGAAACAAATAGCTCTAAAATCAAGCCATGTGTTTTCGCTTTCTCAGAGGACACAGCCGGGATCCCGTTTACACGTTGGCGTGCACGTAAAAAAAACCTTGACAATTGAAATTCAAAATACGAATGTTCGATCAAATTGTGGTAGCCAAGTCGATGAAGAAAAGTAGGACTTTAAACCCCATTTCATTTCCAAGAACACGTGCGTGTAGTATATATATAGAGAGAGAAATGGGGTTTAACGTCCACTCGACACAAACTAGGTCATTTCGGGACTAACATATGGTTTAATTTTATTTCGATAATTCGCTTGCGCGTAGGGGTCTTTAGCAGTGGGAGGTCGGAGGACCCGGAGAAAACCCACGAGGTTGGACAGGCAACCCTACTCCTTGTCACGTACAACCGAGGAATCGAAACCACGCCAGTTGACCCAATGACAGGTCTTATGATACAGCGCGCACGTGCTAACCATTCGTCCATCCAACCCCGCCGCGTGTAGAATAAGGATACCGTGCTGGTGAAAATCAAAAGTGTATTTTTTTTAAAACGGTTACGACGAGAAACTGAAGGCGGTAATTATTCTACCATACTAACTGGATCTAACGCTCAAACACTGACTTCAATATGAAAAGAGAAATTAATTACTTGACGACATCTTTCCATTTGGTAATTTCACGCGTCAATGCACGTACTTTATTACTACCATACTATACACGGGATGTTCAAGTGATAGAATCGAACCAATGTCATGAAGGTTATCAGCTGTAGTTATTATAAAAAAATTCAAAACTTTTAAATAATGGAAATTCTGTATACGATTAACGTATTTTCATATGAATTAGAATAAAATGGAAAACATCTTTTTGCTTTTGAATAAATCACGCGCGGTGAATCATGGAATCTACTGGGTTTTTTTAAAAAAAAAAAATCCGTTTTAGATTTATATTTTGTACTTTATGCATGACCGCAATCATATTTTCATTGGGGAGTGGGGGGTTGGATGGCCAAATGGTTAGCACGTGCGCACTGTATCATAAGGTCTGTCATTGAGTCTACTGGCGTGGTTTCGAATCCCCGGTTGTACGTGACAAGGAGTAGGGTTGCCTGTCCTACCTCATGTGTTTTCTCCGGGTCCTCCGGTTTCCTTCCACTGCTAAAGACCCCTACGCGCAAGCGAATTATTGAAATAAAAATAAACCATGTGTTAGTCCCAAAATGACCTAGTCTGTGGGAGTGGGAGTCTCATTGGGGAGTCACAGAGTAAGTTACGTTACGTTGTGATATCAGTATAGGGGCCACGGTAGCTCAGAGAGTAAGACACTGCCTCATTAGCAAGAGGTCGTGGGTAGAGAAGGTGCCCCGGGGTTTTTCCATTTCTCCTTTGTCAGTGGTACAGGGCGAAGGGTTCTGGCAAGGAACGGCGTACATATCTCGCTTGCACGTAAGACCATCCTTGACAGGCGGAATCCAACACAGAGTATTCGTAAACACCACTTTAGGCTACTCTTATATCATATTCCAACTGCCAAGGGATTTTTTACGTGCACGCCAATGTGTACACGGGACCTCGGTTTTTCGTCCCATCCGACCGACTAGACAGCTGTCCTTGTCAGGCCCTCCATCCTGCATCACTGACAAGGGGAAACCACGCCGGAGTACAGAAATGGAATGAAATGAGATGGGGTTTAACGTCCTACTGCAGTTTGTACAAACAAGTTGGACGCTAAACCCTATTTCATTTATATTTACAGACATTGTATCTAGTCCATCCCTAAAATAACATGCAATAAAAACATTCCCTAAAATAACTAAAATAAACTTTGAAAGGATGACCCACTATATCAACTGTTCACCGAGAAGATGAAATCATCGTCAATCATTTTATCGTCAGTTTTTTTACATAAAAATAAAGGAAACACGCAACATCTTAAATATCGTGAAATTACTGTCAAATATCAAAATATATGGACGGTTTCAATACAGTATTAATTTTCATGCCACGTAACGATAACACCAATATGACGGACAAATTAAATTAGTCCTAATATTCACAAGAAATAAAAAACAGTTTTATTGTTCAGAAATCGTTCCATATTAAAATCGACACGGGCGATAAGAAATTATTCTAGTGCAGCCAATGGTAGTAAGAAAACGTTCCATATAAAACATGGATCATAAAAAAATCTATTGAAGTTTAGCCAAGTGAAAGTTAGGAATATTTTGTTATGTGGAATAATCAGTTGAAATATAATTAACACGAGGAGAAGAGCGAGAAGTTGTTGGAAGGGTCAATGAGATTTCTATTCAAGCGATCCTACAAGTTGAAGAACTTTTTCTCACCAAGATTTTTTATACAGACGATAAAATGACGCCATTGAAGAGGTTGAATAGTTAAAAACTTGTTGAACAAAATGAATGCCGTTAAATTTGAGATGTTTTATTGGGTATTATTAAATAAAATCCGCGAAAAGATCACAGTAGGCCAAACTGATGTTTTGAAAAAAAAAGATGCAATCATTGCGTGTTTTTCAGATTTGTAAACCAAAATTATTTCTTAATATCGTTAAAGAAATAGAACCGAAGATAAAATGGCACTCCCTGATTGTCATAATGTCTAAAATTATATGAACTGTAAACAGAATGTCCCCATTGCTATTTTATTTTTTTACGAAATTGAGCACACCAGGAATTCCGCGGCCTGTTTGTCACCCTGATGCTTGTCACGTGTATATATACTGTTTATCACGTGTATATATACTGTTTATCACGTGTATTTATACTGTTTGTTACGTGTATTCATACTGTTTATCACGTGTATTTATACTGTTTATTACGTGTATTTATACTGCTTGTCACGTGTATTTATAGGGTGTGTCGATTGTACTTTTATTCTAAACGGACATGCATAAAACATACCCCAATAATTCCATAGTGACAAGACCCTTGTGATTTTTATCAGATTATACAACCATGATCTAAAATCAGATTTGTCAAGGGTTTCAACTCATATCGTTTTGTTTTAAATTCACATTTTACTCCGAGATAAAAAAAAATATCTCCATTTAGAGTTGAGTATCAGGGATTGTTTTTATGAACAAATTACCACAATCGATGCGTGGACAAATTCATTTTGTAACCAGATTCTGTTTTGATGTGAAGGTTTTTTTTTCGGAATGAGAAGTTTTTTGCACAGTGTAAACTGTAATATTTCTAGAGATGAAGTTGAACCACGAGTTGCTGAGATAAATAAACACACCACTGATACAATAAAATACTCAAAGAGAAAGAAGAAGAAGAAAACTAAATAAAAAGAAGAAATTAATTCTCCACTCCTCGTGTTATCACATATTTGTATAGATTTATTTTTATAAAATATTTTGAAGTGTTGGTGATATCGATGTATTCGGTGGTTAATGGTGTTTAGACGAACAACATGGCGTTTTCAAAATATCCTGACAAGCAAAAGAAATAAAGAAGAGATCAATGATGGAGAGCAGGATAAAAGAGTTGTTGGATAACGATCATTGATATAATAAGTTGTATCAAGTATCGGGTTACATGTATCCTCCTCGGGCATCAAAAGTACATGAATGATTAAATAGCCTACAATTCACCCAATCCTTTAACCAATGTGACACATTACAAGAAACAAAGTGTAGTCGTGTATCATAGTTCACCGCTAGCTATACCACGGATCATTAGTAGGTCTATTGAAGGACGCCTTTTACCACGGATGGTCGTTTAGTCAAATTAGAGAGAGAGAGTGTGTGTGTGTGTAACGTCCACTCGACACAAACTAGGTCATTTCGGGACTAACATATGGGAGGAAATCGAAGGACCCGGAGAAAAACCCACGAGGCTGGACAGGCGAAGCTACTCCTGGCGATGTACAACCAGGGAATCGAAACTACGCTAGTTGACTCAATGACAGACCTTGTAATACAGCGCGCACGCGCTAATCATTTGGCCACCCAAACCCCCCTTCTATTGAAGAAAGAATTGAACGTTAATTCACAGTTCGTATATACATGAGTTTGACCAATCTGGCTGAAACGTAGGACGTTAATCCCTATTTCAGGCCTTCACCCCCCCCCCACCCAGCTAATGGTGTTAGCATAAAGGTCCACTTTCCATGTACGTGTTTCATCCGGTGAAAAAGTCGCTACACTGCAAATGTAATGGAGCCGTTTGCATGTAAGCGTTTCCGTGCACGGAAAAAAAGTTGCTCGATGAGCGAAATGTTCGCTGGCGTTTTTTCTCACGCATGCGGATGTTTACTATGTACTGACGTTTCCATATAACCGACGAAAACGCACGCCGGAAACGCGTACATATAACACGGGCTTATTGGAGAAAGAATTAGAATATAAATATTAATTGTCTTACCTTCATTGACCTGCCATGTTATATTACAATAAAAAACATCAAAACATTCAGTTTTAGGTTTATGTTTATAACCCGTGGTTGTCAAACAATTGTCTTTTCCATCAACCTGGGTACATTCTTCTGTTGTCCATTTTACTAACAATAACTTCGTCCGACATATTACATCCCAACACTCACGTTTAGTCCATAATGAAAAACTCACATTGCCCTTAGTGTCAGGATCCGTTTCGTTGATGGGTCGAGTCCAGAAAGGCACAAAGGCTCCACCTAAATCTAGTCCTATGGCAAGAAACAATATCACTGCTGTAATAATACTGTATATCAACTTCTCTGTCTTTGTAGCCATTTCTTTTTTTACAATCCTTTCTTTCTCAATCTGTACACTTGATTTCACTAAAAAAAGAAAAAAAAATGGTTTAAAAAATATGTCTATCTGCAAAAACAAGGTGATAGATTTCTATAAATAATTCAAATGTGAAAGGAAAATTGAGCCTACAGACTGTACGATTTTCAGGGAAATGAAATGGAGTTTGATGTTCCTCGGAACGGGTTCTTTCCTTATCTCCGATTATCTATCGTCCTTACTCGAGGATACCTTGATAATCCGTTGGAAATAATGCGCCTCGGGAAGATTGTATAGCCTAGGGGCGTCTTCCGATAATGTGCAACTGGAAACCCTTGTCCCACAGCAATACTATATATACGACGAGGCTTTGTCGTTAGGGGGTGACCGTGGTACTGGAGCGTCTACAAACTAGAGGAAAATAATACTTTTAAGAACACTGACGTTTATTTCGGGTGCTGGTATATACAATGTGAGTGAGTAAAGCGAGGCGGGACTCACTCCCATATATACCCTAACGCGGCTAACCCTTATCATCAGTGTTAAGTAACTTTTAAAATAAAATGAAATGAAATCGGGTTTAACGTCCTACTGTTCTGCTCCTATACTGGGCTAATGAAGACGGGCATATGCCATACAGTGTGCTATGAGGGAAATTTTGCCCGGGCAGCGGCACTATCGCCTACTCTTATATCGAATTCCAACTGCCAAGGGATCTTTTACGTGCATTCCAATGTATACACAGGACCTCGGTTTTTCGTCTCATCCGAAGGACTAGACAGCTATCCTTGTCAGGCCCTCCGTTCTGCACCACTGACAAGGGGAAACCACGTCGGAAAATCCAGATGAACTTTCTCGGCCAATGCAGTGATCGAACACCCGACCTCCAGGCTAGCGAGCCACCGTGGCCCCAAAGTAACTTTTAATCCTCTTAGTTTCTAAACTTGGTCTGAACATAACATTGCAGGAAACTGCAATTAATGTTTCGACTCTAACTATATAAAAGTTAAATAAGAGATCTTGAAAACCATTAAATGTTTAATAATTATAATGTGAATGAACTGTGCAGGAAAAGGGACTTTTCGGTGAGATGTGATAAGACATGTATGACTAAAGATCGGAAAGTAATATCTGTATACTATAACATTCCTTTGAGAGCTATGAAGGAAATTAAATAGTGTTTTAGGTCACTTGGTGAATTTTCCAGGAAATTCTATCTTTTCATTGCACGACAATCTGTACACCCGTATGACTAGACACAGTTCCTTGCCAGTACCTTTTCCTCCTGGACAACGCCTCCCTCACTGAGCCACCATGACGCCCGATTTTAAAAGCAAAACAGGATATTATTAGGTCAAAACGATCACGGACAGTAATCGCGGTGCCATATATATTTAGAGAAACTTAAACCAAAGAGAGCAGACTATTCATTAGCTGAGAGCTGGAATTTCTACAATTTTAAAATATTTTAGTTGAAGTTTTCATTAATAAGGCCACACGGCAAATTTTTAACAGATGTGCAAATCATATATGTCTAGTGTCCAGTGCGTCTCCATGGTCCCTACCCTAATTCCACAGTTACGTCTAATTGGTTCGAGTCTGTGAATACCAGTAAACATTAACCAGATTATAATTTAACCGCGAACTTCCCAAAATTGTCCTTTTACATTAGCATAATATGGATTCATGTCTTCGATATATATTGTAAAAATAAACCCCCCGAAGTATTAAAATATTTTTAAAAGGCTGAAAGAAAACAATCAAGAGACAGAGAAAGGAAATAAAACAATTAAGAAAGAAAAAGATCTACTCGTGAAAAGATCAAATAACATTTTTTTTTTGTGAGTTTTTATTGTGATCGAAGTCTCTAATCAGACGGTGTTATAATATAATATATAAAAATTGTAGCCGGGGAGAATGAAATAAGAAAACGGTGTGATATTTGAGGTAGGAGTTTGAACGATCTATATTATTAATCAGTTGAGTTTGTATATGGTCGATTATTTTCTTACATTATATAACAGATATATATAGTGGTGTGAGGTGAGGGCATTAAAGTAACGGGGGGTTGGATGGCCGAATGGTTACTTAGCAGGTGCGCGCTGTATCATACGGTCTGTCATTGAGTCAACTGGCGGGGTTTCGATTCCCCGGTTGTATGTGACAAGGAGTAGGGTCGCCTGTCCAACCTCGTGGGTTTTCTCCGGGTCCTCCGGTTTCCTCCCACTGCTAAAGGCCCCTACGCGTAAGCGAATTACTGAAATAGAATTGAACCATGTGTTAGTCCCGAAATGACCTAGTTTGTGTCGAGTGGACGTTAAACCCCATTTCTCTCTCTCTCTCTTTCTTGCTGATAAAACATATACAACCAATAAAGTGGAGAGAGAGAGAGAGAGAGAGAGAGAGAGAGAAGAGAGAGATCAGGAGGTTGGACAGATGATCCTACTCCTTGTCGTATACATGTATGTCTGGGATTGAAATCACTTGACTCAATGGTTGACTTAATAATCCAGGACTTTCACAAGCCTATGTGGCGCCCCTGGATAAAAGTTTCAGTCACGCCCACCCCCACTCACCGCGCATACTGGTATGCAATTAGATATAGTCTAGGACACTAGGGCATCCTAGTGATATAGTCTAGAACACTAGTACATCCTATATGAAACTAATTACATTGAAACGGTCAAAAATTCTAAAATTAAAGACAAAATAATCAAGGGAAATATTTTCACGAATATTTAATTCTAAGGCTGATATTATTTGGTATGATTATTTTCACAATTTGAACTATTCCTCGTGACATCCACTATTTTTTCTTGGGGTTAATTCCACTCGTCGCTTTAACCCCAATAAAACTTTCATCATAAAACCACCACCATATAAGTATAGGTTTATTTGTGACGTTTCATATAGACGTGCGAGACCTCACTTCTCTCAAAATGTCACCAAATGACGATATCAATACCAACATCAATATACAGTTATTGCCATCACCAATGTATAATTTAATTGAGTTAAATTTTATCCTCGTACAATACAAAGAAAATGAAATGAAGTGGGTTGGACTTTGATTCTACTCGTGCATTATACCTCGCCCTGTCCCTCCCGGCATCCTTACAATGGCCGTATAGTTCTTTCAATGCAGTACACCAAAAAACCCTACTACACAGCTCTAAAAAAAATCTCTATGCAAATGATGAGTCTGATTACATATTGTATGAGAAGTTTTCACGTACTCTTCGTGGAATTGTAACAAATAACCAGTCTCTCTCTCTGACACAGTAGGGGAGGGGGAGGGGGAGGGGGCTTCGTATATGCTTGGTTGACATATAATGATACTTGACTAGTTGTAAGATGAGTTGACAGGATCTTACAGCCAATGGGCTTCTTTGTTACATGGGGATAAAAACATGTCTTTATAAGGTGATTAGGTCGAACTTAAAGCTCATTATTCATAACCTTTAGACATCTCAACAGATGCTCAACACTCAACCATAGACCTTTAATATGATTTACTAGCAGGATACCCGGCTTCGGCCGGTCCGAGCTACCCCTATACTCCAAATTTCAGACTCGGGGCAGACCTAGTGAAGCCGCCAACTCCGAACAGACCGGCTTCGCTCGGGGGTCATAACTCCGAAACCGGAAGTGGTAGACTAACGCCACCTGGCCTATGTTACTCCCCGGTCCGAGCTACCCCTATACCCCAAATTTCAGACTCGGGGCAGACCTAGTGTAGCCGCCAACCCCGAACAGACAGGCTTCGCTCGGGGGTCATAACTCCAAAACCAGAAGTGGTAGACTAACGCCACCTGGCCTATGTTACTCCCCGGTCCGAGCTACCCCTATACCCCAAATTTCAGACTCCCCGGTCCGAGCTACCCCTATACCCCAAATTTCAGACTCGGGGCAGACCTAGTGAAGCCGCCAACTCCGAACAGACCGGCTTCGCTCGGGGGTCATAACTCCGAAACCGGAAGTGGTAGACTAACGCCACCTGGCCTATGTTACTCCCCGGTCCGAGCTACCCCTATACCCCAAATTTCAGACTCGGGGCAGACCTAGTGTAGCCGCCAACCCCGAACAGACAGGCTTCGCTCGGGGGTCATAACTCCAAAACCAGAAGTGGTAGACTAACACCACCTAGCCTATGTTACTCCCCGGTCCGTGCTACCCCTATACCCCAAATTTCGGACTCGGGGCAGACCTAGTGTAGCCGACAACCCCGAACAGACCGGCTTCGCTCGGGGGTCATAACTCCGAAACCGGAAGTGGTAGACTAACGCCACCTGGCCTATGTTACTCCCCGGTCCGAGCTACCCCTATGCCCCAAATTTCAGACTCGGGGCAAATTTAGCCGCCAACCCCGATCAGACAGACTAGGCTCGGGGGGGCATAACTCCGGAAGTGGTAGACTAACGCCATCTGGCCTATGTTACTCCCCGGTCCGAGCTACCCCTATGCCCCAATTTTCAAACTCGGGGCAGATGTAGCCGCCAACCCCGAACAGACAGACTTGGCTCGGGGGGTCATAACTCCGAAACCGGAAGTGGTAGACTAACGCCACCTGGCCTATGTTACTCCCCGGTCCGAGCTAACCCTATACCCCAAATTTCAGACTCGGGGCAGACCTAGTGTAGCCGCCAACCCCAAACAGACAGACAGACAAACGACAGTCACAAATATATATATAGATAGATAGATAGACCTGTAACTGACCAGGAGTAGGGTTGTCTGTCTAACCTTTAATATGATTTCTAGACCTGTAACTGACCAGGAGTAGGGTCGCCTGTCTAACCTTTAATATGATTTCTAGACCTGTAACTGACCAGGAGTAAGGTTGTCTGTCTAACCTTTAATATGATTTATAGACCTGTAACTGACCAGGAGTAGGGTCGCCTGTCTAACCTTGTGGGTTTTCACTGGGTCTTCCGGTTTGCCCTACGAATTATTGAAATAAAAATGTACGCTATGTGTGTTACCGGTTCGTCCATAAACATACATTATGATAAACATACATTATGATAAACATACATTATGATATACATTA